TAAACTAACACAAGTCTCATTAAGTATCTAGTTTAAGGGTATTACACAGAAACACACCACAGGAACATGAATCAAATGTGTACTTTATTCATTTACAATAAATTCATAATGTACATAATTCTGATTGAAGCTAAGGGCATACAACTGTCTAACACCCTCTTGTATCCATATTCCTTCTTTTCTTTTAATTTAATGAAGCTGGTGTTATTGATAAAAAAATGTCTTGGATGACGGCGATGATGATGATGATGATGATATTATAATTGGAGGGGATGGGGTCATGAGCGTATAGGGATATTTATTACATCTTTTATGTTTGTTGGTTTTTGTTGTTGGTTATTTGGGTTGTTTGTATGCCAATAAAAAAAGTTATTTGGGTTGTTTGTATGTGGAGTGGTGTGGTCTTAGCTGGGTTTGTCTCAGTGATACCTTATGACCTGATGTTGTAGTTATTGGCTTTTTTCTTTTTAAAATTTTTTATTTACTATAAAAAAGGAAAGTATTTTCTAGATTTCCTAGAGAGAAAATGGTCGTTTTTGAAATTTAAAGGAGTAGTTCTTGATGTTTTGACTTTAAACAATTACACATTAGGAAAGTTGTGGCCAGCAACGAAAGTATTGGTTGGTAACAAGTTTCTGGTTGCAGTTGGCTTATATTGAGGATTGGCATTCAACCCATGTCATTTTGCTAGATTTTGTCGGATGGTCAACCATGCATGTACAGATGGTGCACATTGCAAAGCTGTACAATGAGTGATACTTTAGAATCAAATGTGTAAGTATGACTAAGTTTCTTCTCTAGATCACTGATCACACCTTTCTCACTTCCAATGAGGAGATTATGTGGCATACTGTCCGTTATATAGTTATGCTAACTTGCTAAGTCCATCCCAGCTCTATGGTTCATGCATTGGACTTTTTCTCTAATGATGTTGGCAATCGTAAGCCCAAATTTATTACTATAAAGCTTCCATGAAAAACATGCTTTTCTGTTAGGGTAAAATTTTCTGCTCGAGTAGGGTTTTAGGGTTAATCATGCTGAGCCCATTTTTAACACCTAAGCTATCATGTAGAAGAGTTATTGGTTTTCTGTTTTCCTTTTCTATACAAATTATCTAGCAATCCTATCCTCATGTATGTTTGTATTTTTACATTTATGCATAGAATTTTTATCATTTTATGTATTACAAGTAGAACGTAAAAGTCGAATATTCTTTGAAGATAAATAAAGAAGAAAATATCAAGGATTACAATAGGTGATAAGGCATCACCCGAACCCCAGAATCATTCCAGCCCTGTCTTATTTTCAAAAAAAAAAAACATCAATTACAGATCAGACCCAATTAATCTCTTAAAACTTCCCACATAGTGATAAGGCATCACCCGAACCCCAGAATCATTCCAGCCCTGTCTTATTTTCAAAAAAAAACATCAATTACAGATCAGACCCAATTAATCTCTTAAAACCTCCCACATACAGAACCCTAAATTATGCAACCAAAGCCCCTCCCTATACCATTTCTCCTGTCTTTCCCAGAGCCCAACCAAGAAAACTACCCATCAAAACCCCTTCCTACATGCAGACAGCAATAAACCTTCACTTCAAACCTTCATCAGTAGAAAATAAAATCTCCTTTTTTCTCTTCATAGCTCTTCTTGTCTCCTTTACCCTTTTATTAATTCCGACCCCAAATAGATCTCCACTTAATCTAGCAAAAACCTTTGAAACTGGTAAGTTTGGAAATTTTCTGGTGCTTCTTAAAGTGGAATTTTCCATCACTGCTATAAAAATAAAATAAAGATAATCCTTCGTCTACCGAGCTTACTATTTAATTGTTGGTATCTTTCCCAGGTTTACCATCCTCTTGGAAATTCAATGATTGGACCTTCTGACCCTTATGCAGAAGTTCGGTGTACTGAATGCCATAGTACTGCAGATGAAAATCTTCTACTACTTTGTGATCTTTGTGATTCAGCTGCTCATACTTACTGTGTTGGACTTGGTGTAACTGTACCTGAGGGTGATTGGTATTGCCATGATTGTGCTGTTTCTAGGGATGACCACAGTAACAGTCAAACTGACATTGATGGTTGCAATCAAAATTTTTCCAAAAGCTTTGGTACCAAAGTAGCTGAAACACATGTTTCAATTTTTGATATTGTACGAGAATCAGATACCCCTGAAGGTGATGTCTCTCCCTCCATTGTAACTCAGAGGGGCACCTGTTCAGCATCTAGAGTGAGGGAAACCTGTATAGCTCAAAGGGACACAAGTGCAGCATCTCGAGTGAGTGATGCCACTGTAACCCAAAGAGACACCAGTGCGGCATCTAGAGTGAGGGATACCAGTGCAGCATCTAGAGTGAGTGATCCAAGTGCGAGAACATTGCGACGCTGCCGCAATGTCCAAGTTCGTATACAGGCCTTAAGAGAAAATTGGAGTGCTTTACGAAGTGGATCAGTGCGCTTCTCATCTAGTTTACTTGATTCATGTGGCAAAAGGAATACAAAAAATAGTAATGGGGCAATAATTTCTGACAGATTAAGTCTTTCACGATCATCACCTTCCATGAGTTCTCAGCAGATAACTTCCATGGACAGCGTTTCTGGTGATACGTTCAGCAGTAGAGGTTCATATGATATTGATAGAGCCTGGAAAATGTTGGACATTGCAAAATCATTACAACGGGCTCCTAAAGGGACCCACAATGACCATCAGGACTCTACTTATCCCTTTACCAAAAGGCATTCCCCAAAAGAAGCAAACAACATAACCTCAACATTTTCTGTACCCAAAAACAAAGCATTCACTGGCACTGATCTGGGAAATGTTAAAATAGAAAAAAGCTATAATTGTCGAACCTCTGAAAAGGAAAAGCCAAGTAAGGAAACAATCAAAGAGAGAGTTAAGGTGAATGCATCTCAGAAGCATGGAGGGAAAATCGAACAACCTTGCTTCAGTGGGGGATTGACAAACTCTAAGGATGGAACAGATGGGAGTGCTTGTCCGATTACCCTGGTTAATTCAGCACCAGGGTGTTCTGAGGTATCTTGTGGCAGACCAGAGTTTGGTGTATCTCTACTTAGCAAGGTAGGGACTCCTATAGGACGGGGTGAACTGGAAAAGGAACTTGCTGAAGGCACAACAAGAAAAGATGATGCTAAGAGTGAGGTCCAGTCTTTGGTGAAACTTAACCTGAAGTTGCTAAACAGAGATAAAAAATTAGGTATGGTTTTTGATAGTTTTTTTTTTTATCAATATGGCTTTTGATAGTTCCATTTCAAAAATAAAACATTTTCTTTTCCTGCTGCTTTAATGATAGATGGTTTATATTTCTCCAAATCCAATGTGGTAAAAGATGTTTCCCAGATAAAAAAAAAAGATTCCAACTAAACAAACTTTTTTTTTTTTTTAAATCATGAATGCTTGCATGTGGTTCCTTTTCTTGTCATATTCATCCATGTGATGTAGCAAATGCATTTAGGTTGTGTTTGTGAGCCTGCGACTACTCTTTGATTACTTTTTTGTGGCATCATCCTAGAAGGAAGTCTTTTTTCACATTTGGGTACCCTTTGGAACACCTCATTTCAGTGGATCCTAAGATCAGTCAATGAGTTAGTTGTTTCTTGGCCAGGGGAAGAATATGGAGAGGACCAGAGAAGAAATACATTGGGGCTTGTCCCTTCCAGGCTAGTCCTTGCCTCCTTGGGTTCTAGGGCTGTTATGGTCATCCTGTGGAGGAAGTTATCAGAAGGTAGTTTGCTAGAGTATGTAGAAATTCAAAAAAAAAAAAAAAGGAAAAGGGAAATGGTTCCTTTAATTGGTCAAGAAGTAATGACCACTAAAACCTCCTTTTGGCTTTTCTGCAGAAAACAAAAATTAGAATATGATCATAAATTGGCTGATAAGAAAATGGAAAAGGAAAGAGAAAAAGAATATTGATGGTGCACGATCTGGATGCTCCTAGCTGTAAAGCAGCTCGAACGCCTGCCGCTAAGTAGGTCGCTCGAACTGCAAAGAAAAGGAGGGATCAGAAAACCTAGGGTGGCTAACCCGGTGAGGAGGGGAGTAACGTACCAGTCAATGATAATATGTGAGCTGAATATTTGAGAACAATGAGCTAGAATGCACTTCATTGCACGTACCGGGGTCCTAGGGGGTTGATGCCCTTATATAGTTGAGCTTCCGTGGGTCTCATGAAATGACTCCGGGATCTTGGGTCCGTGTAGATGGGATCCATTCCGCTTTAGGAGGGGAGTAACGTACCAGTCAATGAAGTCTATCGTTACCGTCCGATCCGGGCGGGGAGAGGATAAGTCCTGCCGTTACGCGGCGTGATCCCGAGAGATTCAGAGTCCACTGAGAAGTTTCTGGAGTTGATTACGTGATCAATTGCCCCCCACTCCTTGTGCCAAGGGTCCTGACCCGGCACGGGGAGTTCATGACGAGCCCAGGTGGATTTAGCACGATGTCTAGGTGATACGAAGGGCGGACCTTTGGTCGGACCTGTATGACCGCTTGGCTCGACCAAGAAATGACCCAGATCGCATATCAGGTATGCGTGGACATCACGCCGATTATAAACTTCGCGGACGTCACGCCGATTATAAACTCCGCGGACGTCAAAACGTGTGCTCAACTGATTTCAACCTCAGGTGGCGTGCAGTCGGTTTTCATGGGAGCCATCGGATCACACAGATCTTGACTGTTGATCCTCGGGATATGGTGACTATAAATAGGGGCCAAAGGGCCCATTTTCCTCGCCACAAACCGCGTGACTGAGCTCTTTGAGATCGCGTTCAAGTCTCCTAGCTCGGTGTCAGCTATCCCCATGTCCGAGGTCGTTTTGCTTTCTTTAGTCTTCTTTGGTGAGTTCGCCTTTCCTTGTTTCCGATTCCATTGTCCATTCCATTAGTATGTCTAGCCTTAGTTTAGATAGTCTTTTAGATGGGGAGCGGTGAGTCCGCTGGGGCCGAGGCGGCAGAGTCTCGTCCTGTCGAGGTGGGCACCTTGGCGTAGGATGTTGACTCCAACCCGTCCGAGGCGGACTCACCTCGGCAAGAGCGTGAGGCTTCTGGTAGGCCGGCTTCCACTTTGCGTCAAGGTCGATGATGGGGAGTGGTGAGTCCGCTGGGGCCGAGGCGGCAAAGTCTCGTCCTGTCGAGGTGGGCACCTCGGCGCAGGATGTTGACTCCAACCCGTCCGAGGCGGACTCACCTCGGCAAGAGCGTGAGGCTTCTGGTAGGTCGGCCTCCACTTCGCGTCGAGGTCGATTGCCGGACAGCTTCGGCCCGTCTTCAATGACAGTGGACAGGCTCTTGTCCTTAGTAGCTCGGTATAGGCTACCCAACAACTTAGTATACAACATTCCCTTAGGCAACTTTACGTGGGATCACGACCATGACGAGATCGTGGTCTTCGAGGAGCAGCTTGTAGCCGGGCTTCGTTTCCACTCCATCCCTTCATAGTTGAGATCGTCAAATTTTTTGACATCGCCATAAACCAGTTCCATCCGAACTCTATCCGTAACGTTGTATGTACCATCTCACTTTTCCACGATTATAACCGACCCCTGGACCTCGACACCTTTTCCTCAATCTTATCTATCAAAAATAATTCAGCCTGTGTTTTCCCCGAGCACAGGCGAAGCTATAATATGTCTCCTCACCCTGGGTATAAATTGTTGCACGAGCTCCCAAACAAAGTCTCGGCCTAGAAGAGGTGTTATTTTGTAGTCCATAACACCGAGGAGTGGCCGTTTCCAACTCACTGGAGGGCTGCCATCCAGGACCCCAGCGTCAGATTGGATCAAAAGTCACGGGAGGAAGTCCGATCTTGGGCGAAGCTCGGGCTGAAGTTCGATAATTTCGTGACCGAAGAGAAGCTCGTACAAGCCGGGCTAAGTCCTCCTGGTAGGTCATCATCACAACTGTTGTACTTGTTTTCTTTGTTTTATTTTACTTTGATGTTGTATCTAACTCTGTACGTCATCTTTTGCAGCTGCCATGGCTGACATCCCCGCTGACGAGCTTTTCAGGAGCATGTAGAAGGGGAAGCAGAAGAAGAGGGCCTCCTAGAAGGCTCGCCTCCATGAATACACCACTACTCCCGACATCGGCACCACCGTCCCTGAGCAGCCGCCAGTGATCAACTTGGTCAAAGAGGACCAAGGTAAAACTTCTCCGCCCCACTTGCCCGAGGAGACCACATCTTCCGAGCCTCAACATGCTTAGGCGACCACCCGCTCGAGTGGTGACACCTCAGTTCGGAGCATCTTGACTCCGAAGTTCGGTCTCCTCAAGAGCAAGGACGCAGTCTTTGCCGAGGAGGTTGCTCGTTGGGCCAATTTACCGGTCGCTTAGCTCGGGGCTAGAGCAGCAACTCATTGCATGGTGGTACGTACTCAACCTTTGGGCTATATTATTCATAGTTTTTTCTCCATACTTAGATTTTGTTTCTTCTCTTGGCAGGTGAACTCTTCGATCCATGCCCTAGCCTACCGGTCCGAGGTGAACCTGAAGCAAGCTCTCAAAGCCGAGGAGTCCTCCTGAAGTGCCCACTCCGAATTGAACCTAGCTCGCAGCGAGATCAACAAGCTACAAAAAGATGCGCGAGCTAAGAAGGAATTGTTGACTCTGTTGATGGCAGAGAAGAAGGAGCTAGAGGAGCGCGAGGCGACTCTTAAGAGTGAGAACGAGAACCTCGAGGCGCTGGTGAAGGAGTGGACTGATATTTTGCTCAGTGCAATAGAGGAGGCCAAGGTCAAGGCCATCGAGGAGTACAAATCTTTGGCGAAACATTGTGATTTGTTGATTGATGCTGGGGCAGTGGGCTACCGCAAGGGCTTTAAGCTTAGCAGATGGTTGACCCGGTGTGAATTCCCACATCTCGATCTCAGTGCCATCACGACGTCGAAGATCACCAAGGAGATGGCCGTTGAAGCTGCTAAAGACCCAGACTCCGAAGAGGAGAGCGATGATGACCTTGGTGACGAGACATCAGAAGAGGGAGAGGGAGATGGTGCCGCCGAGGATCGTATAGAGACTGACCAGTCTATCGATGCTTCTACTGGGGATGAGGAGCCCCGAGTTGATTGATGCCTCTTTTCTTGGAACCCCTGTATATACTCGATGTCCTGAGTCTCCGAGCTCGGTTATATAGTTGTAATCTTCTTGTTCTTGCTCCCCCCTTTTTTTTTCTTTTTTTCTTTTTCTATGTACCTGAAATGCTTCATTAATGAATACAACAGTTCAAAAATTTCTTGTGTGCAAAAAATTTTTCTAAGTATAGATTACTCCCGAGCTAGTGAGCTAGAATCAAATAGGAGCAAAGATTTTTCTAAGTATAGATTACTCCCGAGCTGGCAAGCTAGACTCGAATAGGAATAACCCAACGTCATTGTACGTCGAGGTGAACAAACACTGTAGGGTATATGCCCGACTTGTCTGTGCCTAGGCTATTTTTGCCTTACCCATGCCAAAGCGATTGGGGTTTTCGGTTGCCCATGCCGAAGCGACTAGGTCTTAGTGAGCCTATGCAAAGAGGCGAATAGGTATTACATTGTGCCGATGTCTCTTATCAGCTCGTTACCATAGCCCTTAGGCTTCTAAGAGTGACTTGGAGTCCTCTTTCCAGTTCGTCGTCCTTAAGATTAGCTTGGTGATCTTGTGGACTTAGTTGTTTTTCAGTTGCATTGGGGTTTCACAGATAGTATCTCCTTAGGTTTTCAATGCTCCAAGCTCGAGGTACTTGTTTTCCTTCCATAGTTTTGAGCTCGTAGGTTCCTTCTCCAAACATTCGTCTCACCCGATATGGACCTTCCCAGTTCGGGCCAAGCTTACCCATGTCGGGCTCAGGTGCCATTACCTTATAGAGGACCAAGTTGCCGACTCGGAGTAGTCGCTTCTTGACCCGGGCGTTATAATACCGAGCTACTCTTTGTTGGTAAGCCACAGTTCGAATGGGGGCCAAGTCGTGCACTTCTTCAACCAGGTCTAAGTTAGTCCGGAGCTCGTCATTGTTTGCCTCTTCATCATACACTTCGAGCCGCAACGTTGGTACTTCAATCTCTGTCGGAATCACGAATTCCGTCCCATATGTGTGGTTGAAGGGTGTTTCAACGATCGCGATCTTGATGGTAGTCCGGTAGGCCCAAAGGACACTGGACAACTCGTCCACCCACAACCCTTTGGCTCGCGCAAGGTGATCTTTCAGTCTGCGGAGAATAGCCCTGTTCATCACTTCGGCCTATCCATTTGCTTGCGGGTGTGTTACCGAAGTGAAATTTTGCTGAATTCCCATCTCAGCACACCAGTTTTGGAATTTGATGTCCTCGAATGCTTCCCGTTATTCGAGATCAACACTCTGGGCAGTCCGAAATGACATGATGTTTTTCCAAAAGAAATTCTGCATGTTCCGGGCTGTGATGCTTACCAACGGTTTGGCCTCCACCCATTTTGTGAAGTAGTCTACTACCACGACCAAGAACTTCCTCTGCCCAGTTGTCGGCGGAAATAGACCAAGGATGTCAATTCCCCACTGCACGAAGGGCCATGGGCTAGTCAAGTACTTCAGGTCGGCGGTGGACTGATGGAGAATGTTGGCATGCCTTTGACATCTGTCACATTTCTTGACAAGCTCGAGCACTTCTGCCTTCATAGTGGGCCAATAGTAGCCCTGCCTTAATGCCTTTTGGGCGAGCGCTCTATTCCCCAAGTGTCCTCCGCATAACCCTTCATGGATGTCGCGAAGTACGAACTCAGCTTCTGAGGGTCACAAGCAACGTAGGTAGGGGAGCGTGAAGGACTTCTTGTATAGTCGTCCGTCTATAAGGACGTATTGAGCTGATTGACGCTCTACCCTTCGAGCTGCATTACGTTCTGCAAGTAGGGTTCCGTGGAGTAGATAATCAATGAGCGGGTCAATCCAGCTCGGTTCCGCTTGCAACACGGGAGCGACCTCTTCTGCCCCCTCGAGAATGCTAGGCTGAGGTAGGTCCTCTATATACACAATTCGCATGGTGTTGCTGCTGCTACTTGCTAGTCTTGACAGGGCATCGCCTTCAACATTCTCGGATCTTGGTATCTGCCTGATGAAACAAGAGCGAAAGCCTGGTAGGATCTCCCTAACTTTGGCTAAGTAGGCCGCCATAGTTGAGTCACAAGCTTTGTAATCACCATTGGCTTGGTTAACTACCAGCTGAGAGTCGCTACACATGATAAGATGTTTTGTACCCATTTCCTTCGCTAAGTTTAGCCCGACAATTAGTGCCTCATACTCATTGTTCGACGCTTCGAATCCGAATTGGAGAGCGTACTCCAGCTTCACTTCGCTCGCTGGTTGGATGAGTTGTCTACGTGGAGGATCCAGGGCTCCTCGTCACAGGTCGATGTTTCTCTAACCGGGACCGGTGCCACGTTGGTTGACGCCTCTGACACGTTAGTGGGCTTAGTCGGTTCAGGGGCCGGCGTGTTGAATGTGCATTCTGCTATGAAGTCTGCCAAGACTTGGGCTTTGATCGCTAGCCATGGCTCAAACTGGATGTCGTACTCACTCAGCTCGATGTGCCTCAGAGGTCTATTAGTAAGGACAACGATGGTATGGGCTTGGAAGTATGGGCGCAATTTCCGAGCTGCTACTACTAGCGCGTACGCTAGCTTCTCGGTGTTAGGATATCTAGTTTCCACGTCCTGCAAAACTTTACTTACGTAGTAGATGGGTCGTTGGACCCAGTCTACTCTGATCAGTATCAAGCTGACCACCTCGTCACTCGCGAAGAGGTACAACATCAATTCATCTCCTTCCTCAGGTCGTGTTAAAATCGAGGCGGTACGTAGGTACCTTTTTAGCTCATCGAACGCAAACTGGCACTTTTCGATCCATTCGAAATTTTTGTTCTTTTTTATTGCCTTAAGAATGGGTAGACACCGACCTGCCGATTTAGACATAAATCGGTTTAGGGCAGCTACATAGCCAGTTAGTCGTTGGACTTCCTTGATTTTTTGGGGTGGTCGCATATCTAAAATAGCCTTAATTTTATCCAGATTAGTTTCGATGCCACGTCAGTTCACTATGTAACCGAGGAGCTTGCCCGACGTGACCCCGAAGACACACTTATTTGGGTTTAACTTCATATTATACTTCCTTAAAATTTGAAAAACAACATTTAAATCATTGATCAAAGATCTAGAAAACTGGGTTTTCATGACCATGTCATCAACATAACACTCCACTTTATTGCCAATCAAAGGTTCAAAAATATTGTTTACAAATCACTGGAAAGTTGCTCCAGCATTTTTCAAACCAAAGGGCATGACTTTGTAATAGTACAACCCGAGTTCGGTTACAAAAGTAGTTTTATCCTAGATGGCTATGTCTATCCTAATTTGGTTGTAGCCAGAGTAGGCGTCCATGAAACTCAGCAACTCATGCCCTGAGGTCGCGTCTACTAGGCGGTCTATTCTGGGCAGGGGAAAGCAATCCTTCGGGCAAGCTCTGTTCAGGTCGGTGTAGTTGACGCACATGCGCCACTTGCCGTTGGCCTTCTTCACCAACATGGAGTTGGCGACCCAGCTCGGGTAATGGACCTCCCTGATGAAGTCTGCGGCGAGGAGCTTCCTGACCTCCTCATCGACTACCCTCCACCGCTCTGGGGCAAGGTTGTGTTTTCTTTGTCTAACTGGCCATTTAGTTTATGAGTTATCACACTAGGGTCGATTCCAGGCATTTCTGCCGTGGACCAGGCGAAAGCATCTAAATTATTGAGTAAGAAACTTACTAGTTGTGTTCGGAGCGGTTCGCTTATCAGGGCACCGATCTGGAGAGTCTTGGTCGGCTCGGTCTCGGAAACCGGTATGTGGACTCTCTTCCATCGGGACAGCTCGCTCCTCGGTGCAGTCTACTGGTTGTTCCAGTTCGACGTCTTCCGCCAACTTTGCTTTTCCCTTGAGGGTAGCCTCGTATGACCCCTATTCCGTAATCGGTCGGAAACTTTATCGGTAGATAGTAGGTTGATGCTATCGCACGTAAAGCGTACGTGATGGGCCAACCTATGATCGCGTTGTAGGGGGACGGAGTCGCGACCACCAAGAAGGTATGTTCGAACCGCTCGGTGTTCGGCCACGTGCCCGCCTCCACCGGTACTGTGGCTCGACTGATAGGCCTGACTTCTTCTCCGTTGAACCCTATTAGGGGAGTATCCGCCGGTTTCAGATTGCTTTACTGCAATTGTAACTTGTCAAAGGTCCCTTTGAAGAGGACATCGACCGAACTGCCTGAGTCCACCAAGATCCACTTCACTTCGAAATCGTTGATGATGAGCTTTACGACAAGGATGTCGTCATGAGGGTACTGAGTCCCACGAGCATCATCCTCGGTGAAATAAATGGGTTCTTCTATCCGAGGTCGCTTTGGTGGGTTCTCTGCCTCGTGCTCCAGTTCTCAGACCGAAGTTTTCCCTGTTGCTGTTGTGCACCCCGCTACAATGGATCCACCAGTGATCATGTTGATCACTCTGATGATCGGTCTTTCTTCTGATAGCGGGCAAGGTGGCTACTCATTCTATCTACTAGTCTCTGGGGCTTCTTCCGATCTCCCAGTCGGTCCCCCTGCCCTTTCTCCTCGCGCAAAATGTAGTTTTTCAAATACCCGCGGCAGATGAGTTCCTCGATCTCGTCACGGAGGTTTCTGCAATTCTCCGTGCTGTGACCATGGTCCTGATGAAAGTGGCAATAAACATTTGGGTTCTTGGTCGCTGGGTCTCTCCGTAGCTTGGGTGGCCATCTGACAATGGAGGAGTCCTTAATGGCCATTAAGATCTCTCCTCGCTTCGCGTTAAGGGGAATGTAGTTGGTTCTCTCCACTGGTGGGGTCCTGGAATGCCGAACCAACCTATAGCTTTAGGAGGGGGACTTGCTCCTCGAGTGTGGCGATTTGCTTCTTCTCCTCGGCGACTTGCTCTTTTTTCTTTTCTGTCTGTCAGCTGTATGTAAATCATTCTTTATATCACAATTAGTAAAATTTGATTGTTAGTAATAAAAGTTGCAACTTTAAGTCATTTTCTGTGCGCCTGAAATGCCTCTTTATTCCTTTCAATAAGTTCTATAAAAGGCAAAACTACTGAGGAGAATAACATGTCAAAAGAAAAAATAAATAAATAAACTATTGACGAGAATAACCATCATCGTCTAAGCCTTGGAAAAGGGTAAAAACTATCTTGAAATGGTTATAGGCTTATAGCCAATGTTTGGATCTTTACTTGAACTAAATTAAGTGTTTGGCTTTGATGAATTCATGACTTCAAAACCAGTTGGACGGATTGCACAAGTTTTTCACCATTTTAATTATATAGTGAATTTTTGCAATTCCAGCCTACCATTTCATCTGAAGTTGATAAAAGAATATTTAAAAAAAACACGTTTATGTGCTGATTTTCTTATGTGTTTTAAAGTTATTATTATTATTTTTATTTTAAGACTACAGACTGTTGGAATTTTAGTTAAATACAAAATAGACTAAGACATTATCGGTCATCTTTTTGTGGTATTTTAAAAGGGTGAAAACAAGGAGAAAGATACATATGACATTTTTTATAAGTAGCTTAAAGGTAAAAAATGCAAACGAAAAAAACAAATAGTGCTGGATATTTGGTTATACAGGAATACAAGATAGAACTACTTTGTTAAATTCAAAATAAGTAAATATATTGGATAAGATAAATATGCTGATATTTTTGTTATAAGAATCAGTATGAAAAAAAATATTATAGAAGATTTTTAGTGAGTTTGGTTAATTAAATATATTACATGAAACTTTAGTCAATTAAAAATCATGCATATAGGCACTCTGCAATTGCAGCAAGTTACTTAAAAAGATTTAATTGTTGATACTTCCAGCAGAATGTATGGATTTGAATAGATTGGGAAGTTGAATGCAGCCATCACCAAATGGTTGGTGGAAGGCTTCAATGGTTATTAAAATGGAGGTCTTTATTTAAATTTATACAGTAAACTATTATTATCACCTGAAAATATGAAGCAAAAGGGCGGTGTTTCAGAATCTAGAGAAGCAATGAGTAAAGGGATGTTACTATCTAATTTTGTTATTTATTTTGAGGGCAGATTTGTAACACCAATTTGTGAAGAAAATCTATTTTATACAAATAAATAATATGATGGTAAGACATAATCATTATACCTGTAAAGAAGATGGTATTTACTGTAGCGTTTACTTAAAAGGCAAATCTATTGGGGAGGATAACCATCATCGTCTAAGCCTTGTGCCAATTATATGGGGTCAGCTACATAATCCTGTTCCTCCATTATTTTCTGTTCAGTGCCATATTGTGGAGAATAACGATATGGGGAAGAACATCACTATTGGAGAGAATAATGATATTATTAATTTGGATGAGAAAAATTGCCATTGAGAAATCAGGAAGGAACTAATTACCTGATGCTGCTTTCAGGAGAAAGTAATTAGAGACAGCAAATTAGCAATATGATATAGAATTCTGAATTGCTATAAATAATTGATGCATCAATAAAACAATAAGAAACCAACATACGGTGTTTATTGTTCATTTTGCAGGGGTTGATGGATTCAAAGAAGTTGCAAGGCTTGCTACTCATACCATTTTGGCAGCGTGTGGGTTGGAGCACACAAAATCCTGTGTCCGCCCCTTTCCTAGCTCAATATGCGCCCACAACGTGCAAAGCCAGCAGCTCCATATGTCAAAATTAATGCCTAGTTCATGCAGAGAATGCTTTTACGTCTTTGTAAAGGATGTTGTAAACTCCATCATGGCTGAGAAAATAGCCAGTGCAGGGCTGTAGGCTCATCATGTTAAAAGCTGTTGAAGTTTCTATTTGATGGAGGCTCGTCATTTCTTCCTATCATAGCACCACAAGAGAAGTGGATTAATTATAGAGCTTCAATCGATCAATATTTCCTTATTCTGTGACTATTAATTATTTCCTTGTTCATATTATAGTATAATGCATTGGCACATAGAAAAGGCAAGAGTTTTGTTATATAATCAAAGCCTAGGTTAGATTTTTTGTATCCTTTTCTATTGACCATTAATAAACATTGGAGTTGAACCTGGAAAAAAATTGACTCAACCGGCAAATCCGACCCAATCCAACCCGAACAAACAGGGTTAGGATCCCATATTTAGCTATCTGAGTTCCAAGCCAGAAAGAACTGGGTTGGGTTGGGTCATGGGGTCAACCAGTTGACCCGTTTGTCAAGTCTATTGGGACTATTTATGTATTGTTAGATGTTTTCACTCTTTATTCTTAACTATTTAGGTTTTACTTTTTGAATTGTTGAGTGTTCAAGATTTTTATTTTATGTTTGGAATTTTAAGGTTAATTCCTTTAATTTTGGCATTTTCATGTTTTTTTTTGTTTTTTTAAATTTCAATTATTTTTAGGGATGACCCAAGATGAACCATGGGTCAACCCTAACCCAAACATTTAGGTTAGGGTCTAGCATTTGCTTATCCAACCTGAAATTCATCCCAACCGGAAATCAACCCAAAGCTTCTTAACCCAACCCAATTGCCAAGTCTAAGGGGAATGGTAATCATTCCATTCATCAAAACACCCTAATTTTAATTTCCAAAATTACCCCTTGATATTCTTTCTATTTGCTTTACCGTTCGTCCCATCCGTCAAAACACCAATTTTTAAAATTACGCTTCACTAATTTTTCTATTTGTTTTACCGTTGTTTAAAATCTAATAGTTTTTGTCTTGAAAGCCCTGATTTTTATTTTCAAAATTACCTTCACTATTTTATTACCATCTATATGCTTTACCCCCATTAACTGTGTTTATTAGTTTATTTTTCTTGAAAACCAACAAAATGATTGGTCAGAAAAATGGGCAAACAGATATAATGAAGGTTCTTAGACACTTGGCACTAATGGAGTTCCAATTGTTTATGTGCTTCATTTTCAATCATATTCAGTCTTTTTCCAATCACCCCAATAAGCTTCAATAGCAATATATGCTGACATTATACTCAATATCATTTTTATCACAATTGCAAAGTTCTCTTATTTCTTTCACTCTTTTAAGTTTTGAAAATGCAATAGGAGTTTTGGTTTAATTTCAAATTTTGTATTCCTTTGATATTTTTCCTGTTTAATTAGTTTAAAGTAGTTAGGGTTTTGGTTTAATTCCACCGAGAAAAGGAGTTTAATTCCTCCTTTTTTATGATAATTTTATGGATAAATGGCTTAAACATACCATGAGTTGTAAAATCCTATTTTGCCTTTCCTATGCGTTTTATCATATGAAATCTTAGCTCTTTTAATAAAGGGCGATTGCATCCCTCCTCTGTTTTATATTTGCTTCAATTACAATTCATTTGGAAGGAGTACAAATACAAATATGTAAAGATACCACGTTGGGTTAATCAAGATGTGTAACAGAATCAAAAGCTAAATCTGTCGTTAGACATAGTCTTCCCCCTAACGAATGCAGAATAACCACAATTCAGGAAGCCTTGGTTTCCTCTTTGGTACAGA